TATACAGTACTTTGATTAACCCTTACACGGAGCATGGGGCTAAAAGTTTTTCTTAGTTATGACAAGAGTTGTAGTGTTTATAATTTTATTTTAATAAGTTTAGAGTTTGACATTATTCTTTGTTTTTGTTTTTGGACAGCCAATCTTTTGTTTAAGTTCTTAATTCTAAAGTGTATGCGTATCTTAAAATAAAATTTTTTATGTTTACACTTATATCGACCTGCTCAGCGGCGTTTAACAATGTGTGTTTTAAATTTGTAGTTATTTGAAAAGTGTCCTTAACAATATGTAAAAATATGAGTTCAAGTTGTTTTATTTTTTCAGTCGAATTAAGTCGTCTTCTTTTCAGTGGCTGCCCTGCGCCTGATAACGACTTCCACTGTGAAGCACTGAAATGCGTATCGCAAATTTGAGAGCTCTCAATAAAGGTACAGCCCAAAGACTGCTCCCACAAAGCTCTTTTTTCAATGCACTTTGGAACATGCACAAACTTTACGCCTAGCACGTTCTTGCGACAATAATAGCAAAAAGTCATTTTTTTCTTGGCCACTTAAGGGTTAAAGTTATGAAAACAAAATCACCTTTCAGTTTGACAGTTTGAAATTAAGTGAGCAAACCCGAACGATATGTCAGTGGAATGGACTACCTTATATAATTGTATCATGCCTACGTGTGTCGATAGACATAGTTATTCTGAGTATACTGTCAAAATTTTAGATCGATAGGTTAAGAGTTGTTCGAGTTATATGTTCGGCCAACTCAAAAAAGCGGTTTCGAGAAAAACGCGTTTAAAGTTTTAAGTACTGTGGGATATACCTGTGAGGCATCGCCGCAGAATGGAAAATATCGACACTTAGACACATTTCGAATTCGACACTATCTTTTGATATGTCATTTTTTAGACCCTAAAGAATTTTTTAAGCGAAAAAAAAATTTCGATTTTTTCAAAATTCTACTCAGATGTCCCCCCTTAAACAAATGAAAAACTACGCTTTCCTATCTATATTTTCCACGGAGAAAACTTTCCAACCCAATTTTTGAGACAATTTTTCAGTGGGCTATTTTTTTTTCAAATGATGCAAAATGGGATCAAATGAGAGAGCTAAAAAAAATTTGTGAGTTCTCACACTATCAGTGTGCCGGCAGCGCTGCGCCAGAATTTCCGACCCTATGCACGCGTGCTATGGCAAATGAGAGTAACTAAAGTAAAACCCTATTAAGCTGATTACAGTTTATAATAGTAAATATTTTTGATAAGGTGAATTTAAATATATTTTAATATGTCTTACAGGCCTGTAAAAACAAAAAAAAAAGAGTATGCTGCAAGGTACTACATTTTTTGTTCATTATCAGTTCAACTACGTGGTGAATGCATCAAACTACCTTAAATTATGAGTAAAAAAAACACCAGTTGACAAATTAACACCCTTACAGGGTTTAGATTTAGAGATTTATAAATTTATAGCTGAAATCCATAGACACTTATAATAGACCCATTCTGGCGAACAATTTTATTCCCACAATGAAAAATGACAATTCACAAAAGTGTTTAAAAGTATTTTTAGCGTGGTTTTATACTGCATACGCAAATATATTCAATTTATTAAGCTGTACCAATATTTGACCAGCTCTCACATGTGTGGTACAATTTAACGCTTCCTGTGCATATGCTCTCGGTTCTTGCGCTTCCAAGCAGCACGCCTGGACCCACCAATGGTCTGCGAGTATCTGTATCCTTTGCCGATTCCACGGGAACTTTTACCTGCAGATGTAAGGCCCCTTAACTCGCGATGCTTATGCACGTGCTTGCATATCCAATTAATTTTCGGATCACGACGAATTGAACTATGATGAGTATCGATCAATATTACCTCAAAATACTTATATGAAGCATCTTGAGCAATCCAATAGGAGTTCAAAACCCGAAGGCCACCTAACCTGCGACCAACACGTTCCTAAAAAAAAAAAAAAATTATTAGCATGTTATTATAAATGTTATGGTTATTTTACATAAGAATCTATATCAGACATCTAAGGAAGTTTGTAGTCAACAGCAAATAATTAATGACAAGAGTTATTTTCATCAAAACTTTAGCTCATGTAATTTTTCCGATTCATTTTACTTACCTCAGCAATAGACTGCAATCCACGATAAGGTTTTAATTGATTTACACCATGACTTTTTGGCTTTCCATAAGTGCAGCCTTTTGGTACAGGGCGCTTTCGGCCACCACGACGTACACGAATTCGATAAATGACAAATCCTTGTTTAGCTTTATATCCCAGACGTCTTGCTTTATCCGGTCGAGTTGGCCTAGGCGAGCGATGCAATTTAGTCAATTGACGATACTGCCAAACGCGAATTCTAAGCAGATATCGCATGACATCGCTTTGCTTCTTCCTATACAGTTCCTGCATATACCGATAAGCCCCCATGTCCAAAACTGATAGACCTAGTAACAAATTTAATAGTTATTACTAAGATTCATAACTGTCACATCATGGGTCCATCAACTTTCCCAAACTGCGGGCCGAAATTGATTCCAGACATTTAGATAACTACAAATCAAATATATGCAAACATTACTCTTTATCAAAAAAAATTAACAGTTGAACAATTGAAAACAGGAAACATTTTTCAGAACTCCATATTCAGCAAGCTATTTCTAGCTTATGAGTGGTGCATGGAAGTATCATCACAATAAAATAATGCAATGCACAACGTAATTTACAAATTGTTTAGAAGAAAACGCATTATTTAGTCCATTTTGTGTTCGGATGCACATAAAAAACAATAAATAATTTGAATATTTCAATAGAACACAACCTGCTTACCAGAAGTCTAGTTTCCAAAAGACGGAAGTGTCAAATTTTCCATACCACATATCTTTCCAGGGGTGCTTCTGATACTATACAGCAATACACACGAAATTGAAACAACGAAAAGAAACAAAAAAAAAACACTGTTCAACTGAATGTTTACTCAACCGAAACAGTACATGCTGTGGAAAAGTAGGAATTTGGGAAAAACTCATACATGGCCCATAATCTATCTAAAATATACCACCACTGTATACTACTTGAAACATCGTGTGGATGATGTATTGCTTTTGTTGAAAAAAAATAGAGAAAATAATTCACCTTTCACCTTTCTTTCCCCTAATTAAAATTATACGACAAGCCATAATTTGGCCATAAAAGCCATAAGGATCGGCCGACTATATCCTATAGCTCTCATATAACTGAAAGATCGGATCCAACTCTTGTGTTATTGAAGATAGAAAGCTGGAACTTAGTACAGATTCTATTTTTGGTTAGTTGATCCAACCTACCAACCATATAACTGAACGATCGGAAATGGTATTCGGTAGATATACCAACTTTGATTTTCTTGAAGATAGAAGTTTGGGACTTTTTTAAGATTTTGTTTTGTAATGAATTGGTTATTTTATGATATTCTCATAGGGATCGGCCAACTATATCCGTTGTTTGCGATATATATCCGATTTTAACTGCAAGGGTATATCAACTTTGGCTCCGCCCGAAGTTAGCTTTCCTTTCTTGTCTAATAAAGAAAAAAATGTTTGAGAATTAAAGTGTGGGTGGCAGAAATCCGGTACTCATCCGGTACAAATAATATATTCGAGAAACTTGACCATAGCCGTTCATTTTTTTTTTTGAATATCAGATATTTTTTTTAATACATAAATCGTTTATCCAAAAATTGAATTTAGATCATAATCATAAAAAATGGACAATGGTCAGATGGCCTGTCAGAGAGAACCAGTGTTGCCATTTTAGCCTATTTCAAGCTAGATCTAGACTATTTTTAAATGATATAGCCTATAAAATTTGTAAATAGCCTGACGGGGAGGCTATTTGAATGACGGGGAGAACGACGATATTGAAACTTTGTTAACGTGTTTAATATAATAAATACATGAACATTTCATTAATGTGGTAGATATTATTAGATTTGAATATATAGCTTATTTTTCAGACATTTTTCTGAATTTTAGCCTATTCTAGCCTATTTTTACCCAAAATCTAGCCTATTTGCGAGCTCAATACCTGGCAACACTGGAGAGAACTTCGACCAAATTTCTGAATTGATCGAGAGAGACAGACAAGGTAGATGCCGTATGACTGAAAAAAAAATAAGCATGATTCACCAAACCGTTATTAACAATATAAAAAAAATACATAAATATTCCGAATGTATTTTTGCAAAAAACCGGATGAAAACATACGTAAATACTTATAAAATATTTATATATTCATATATAAAAATCAATGTTAATGTTACTTGTAAAAGGTAAAAATAAGAGTCTTTTAATTTTTGAAATGCGATTCAATCAATTTTACATTATATTCATATAATGTATATTCTACACCCATAATTTATTTGGGGGTACAAAAATATTAATTTAAAACTTATACTGCTCAAACGAAACAAGATTTTAGAAATCCAATTAGATCTATAATTTTCAGCGGAATTCATGAACAAATTCGATTTGACTGCAAATTGCAGCGTTTTTTTTCCACAATTGCGCAAGCTGTTTTTCAGCGTTTTTCCGCTCGCCGCTCATGAAATTGGCTCATGTCTGTGCTAATGACGTTACATGTGATGCATGTGTTCAATTTTTGCCGTGTTTACAGTTAAATTACAATATAATTATAATAATGTAATACGAGAAGCAGATTTTAACTAATTATTAACTTCGCAGTAGCAGTGGGTACACACCTGCGATTTTGGCGCGGAAAACATAACACAGTTTAATCGTGCCGCTGCCGCTGCGATATATACTCTTTGGTGTGAGAGATGCTTAAATTATGCAGATGCAGTAAATTTTTGTTTGAGTTTTTTTTCAGTTTGAGTCCTGTGTGGCTTTACTGTTGTGCACCTATTTTCATCTTGTTCACACTCCCAGCTGAAAAACCTCTTTTGTCGATCTGAGGATAAAAAGTTAGTTTTATATTATTGTGTAGCTATCTTAACCATGATGGTTCTGTGCTATCGATTATTTCTATAATCGAGGATATGGAAGCAATATCAATTTTTATAAACAACCATTTTCGTATAAATTAAAATGTTTTATGAACATATTATATTGGCTAAGAAAGGTCCTTTGGCCAGGGTTTGGTTAGCTGCGCATTGGGATAAAAAAATAACAAAAGCCCATGTTTTTGAAACTAACATAGAGAAGTCTGTGGAAGGCATTTTGCAGCCGAAAGTAAAATTGGCGCTAAGGACATCTGGCCACTTGTTATTGGGTGTTGTACGAATCTATTCGAGAAAGGCGAAATACTTATTGGCAGATTGCAATGAAGCATTTGTCAAGATTAAGGTTTGTTTATTTTAACATTTATTTTTATATGTTTTCATCTAAATATGAATTTTCTAGATGGCATTTCGCCCAGGGATGGTTGACCTACCTGAAGGACATAGGGAAGCGAATGTTAATGCCATAACACTTCCAGAAGTTTTTCATGATTTTGATACAGCGTTGCCCGAGCTAAATGATATTGATATTGAAGCTCAATTCTCTATTAATCAATCCAGAGCTGACGAAATAACAATGAGAGAAGATTACGGCAGCTTGTCACTTTCCTTGCAGGATGACGGTTTTGGTGACATCGGCTTTGAATCGGAGACTCCAGAAGTGATGCGCGGTTCTTTGACTTCAAATATCAGTGTATGTACTATGCTTATGGTCTAATTATATTTGTAAAAATTTATAAAATTTATAAATTTATAATTTATTTATAAAATTTGTAGGTTAGCATAAAGAAGTACATTATTTTGTTAGAATTTGATTTTATTAATCAATATAACGTAATTAATTCTTGTTAGGAAGGGATATTTTCTTACCTCGATTCTAATTTTAGGGACAGCTCAAAACTTTTAATTTATACCCGGTACGCGTAGAATACAATTCGTGTAATTTAACCTAGAAAAGGAATCATCTCTGACCCCATAATATATAAACATACAGTGGCGAGCAAAATTAAGTGTATGTTCACGACTTTCGTCACCCATAAATTCATATTCACACAACCAAAAATTTTTTTTGTTTTCTATTAATTATTTAATTTTTAATAAACTCGAAAAAAAACTATGATGATGCAGATGAATTCGAGGAGACATTAATTAAAAACGAAAAAAACCCACATAAACTCAATTTTGCACGTATCAAAGAGTTTTAATTTCCAAAATAATATTATTATTTTGTCCAAAGAAGATTATTTGAGATGACTTCAGCGGCCAGGCATGTTATCTACCAAAATTTCTCTTATATCTTTAGGAAAACGTATCCATTCAGCTACAACACGCTCCCAAAGGTTGCTCCTGTTTGATGGACCTGTTTCGTACTGCCTGAGCCGTCTTTTCATGATTGACCAAAGATTTTCAATCGGATTGAGGACGGGACTTTGTGCTGGGCATTCCATTAATTTCTAAGGTTGCCTTCCAAACCATTCTTAACAATTTTCGAGGTGTGCTTCGGATCCCCATCTTGTTGAAAACCCATTTCTTTTTCGGATTAACCACATTTTTAAATAAAATTGGAAAGATTGGTCTGCAAGTTTTTTAGGTAGTCCTCTTTCTAATACCTTCTATTAACTGTAGAGGGCCAACATGCCACCATGTGAAGCATCCCCAAGCCATAATACTTCTACCACCACGTTTTACAGTTTGTTTTACATGGTATCATTGGATTCGATCTTTAGGTCTACACCAGCAATATTGCTTTCCAGACTGAAAAGTGTAAAATTTAGTCTCGTCAGACCAGATAACACGTTCAATCGTCAACGGTCCAATTTTTGTGTGCCCTTGCAAAATTCAATCGCGTTGTAAAATTTTTATCGGATAATGCAGGTTTTTTTTTCACACTTGCAATATATCCGATGTGTCGCAGCGTTTTTCTAGCAGTCCATTCGCTAAATTCTTGTTGATAGCCGAAGAAGCATCCTTTAGTGTTAGGAGCTTGTTCCTTCTCATTTCAGACATTTTTATGTTGTTTCAAACAGATGTTTCATATCTGTTGAAACAAATTTCATCCAAATCGGCCGATTTTTGGAGGACCCATAAAAACGAGATGTCTTTCAATGCCATCTTTGTTATAGGTGTTCGACAAACGTTTTACTCTGTGTTATTACTTTGTAATAAAATTTATAAAAAACAAGAAAGGAAAGCTAACTTCGGGCGGAGCCGAAGTTTATATACCCTTGCAGTTGAAACCGGATATATATCGCAAACATCGGATAAAGTTGGCCGATCCATATGAGAATATGATAATATAACCCAATTTATTATAATAACAAAATCGAAAAAAAAGTCCTCAACGACTTTCTTCAAAAAGATCCATATTCAGTTCATATTTCTACCAAAAACCATTTCCGATCGTTCAGTTATATGTCAGCTATAGGATATAGTCGGCCGGTCCTTATGAAATTTGGTAGGTTGGATCAACTGACCAAAAATAGAATCTGTACTAAATTCCAGCTTTCTATCTTCAAAAACACGAAAGTTGGGTAATTTCCGATCGTTCAGTTATATGGCAGCTATAGGACATAGTCGGCCGATCCGGGCCGTTCCGACTTATATACTGCGTGCAAAGGAAAGAAGAGTGTGTGCAAAGTTTCAAGACGATAGCACACTTTTGACCAAAATTATAATACCGTCTGCAAGGGTATAAAAATCGTTATAAAAAGGGAGTATGCGGAGTGAAAGGGGAGACTTCCGCTTATTACACATACATCAATGTTTTTTATTTTTTTTATAATATAAGAATAATTTAATTTTTTTGCGATCCAATAAATGATCGATTTGGCAAGAAAAAATCAAGATAAAATATATGTAGTCTAGAAACTAAACTTTGTTTTATTACCTGCTTTCTTGAGTTTCCTAATGTTAGCTGCGATAGAGTCATATTATCTTTTGCAGTTAAATGTGTTTTCACATCTATAAAAAGCTGAGCAGCTCTTTTATTTAAAACGCGCTCTTCAAACTGTTCATCCGTTTCATTTTCCATTTGCTCGTCATTTGGATTCTAAAAAAAAGAATAACATTTTTATTTTATTTTTTTAATGATGTTATGTGTTAAAAGTTAAATGTAAATTAGAGCATAATAAACGTATATGTTTATAAGGCAACGAATGCCATGAAGAGGTTTTTAAAAATTTTGGGCCTGCCGATGGAATTTTTTTATTAACTTTTTTATCTGACCCCGATGTGGAAATACAGACTGGAAATATACTGTGTAGCTGCAAGAACACACTAAAACAAGAAAGGAAATCTAACTTCGGTCCGAACCGAAGTTGATATACCCCTGCAGTTAAAACCGGATGTGTATCGCAAAAATCGGGTATAGATGGCCGATTATTATGGCTTCGACCTTTTAAAACAGGCGGAGGCGTTCCTCTGCTTACAATCCGGCCACCTTAAATGGGTTACGGAGCTCGTGAAAATGCCAACAACTACATAGTGTCTCAAACGGGCAAATAAAGTATTTGCATAGCACCTTCTTGGAGCTGGTTAGCTGTTTTCTTTGCGAACTTTATAAAAATAATTATTTAGTTTTTTATTTGACTCTAGATACAATACTGCATCGGATGTCAATTTAATCGGATGTTAATTGGTTTTATAATATTTTTGTCTGCATGCATTCCTTAATCTAAAAAGCCATTCACAAGTATTATCCCAGTACTTTTTTGGAACATATTTATTATTTTTATTGAGATTTATAGTGTTTTTTTTTTATTATGTCCTTAGCTGCGCTACATAAACTGTCAAGAGAGCTAATATTAATTTTGGAAAAATCTTTTATGACTTTTTCCGTTAAGGTTTTATGTAAGGTGATAGTGGAAGGAACATTTAATAACTCAATAATTATTGGAAAATGGTTACTGTTGGAGATTTTAGAGTTTGCAGTAGTCCAAATAGGAGAAAGGGAATTTGTATTAAGGGGAGGTTCTTTTGGATTTTTTTTTGAAAAAATCGATTTTTTTTTTTTAATAAAATGAAAGTTACATATGTGTAGAATATACGTGCCAAGGGATATTTCGATACGACGCGTATTTCTTAAGCTAGAGCGTTTCAAACATACCCATGATAACAAGAAAGCTATCTAAAGGCAAAATTTCTAAAAACTTTAAACGTGTTTTTCTCGGAACCATGTTTTTAAAGCTCTTGTCGCGCACAGGGCTCGTTCTATTGATCCGATTTCATTCAAAAAATGTTTAAAAGTACATACTTTTTTGTATGTCTTATACCTAAAATTGCCATAAAAAATTGTTTATTTATAATTTTTAAACGAGATCAAAGTAAAAAAAAAGAGAAAAAATGTCAATTTTTTTTTTAAACGTCCATGAAATTGGTTTATTTTTACCAAAATTAATTGTCGTTAGGTATAAGGCATAGGAAATTCCATCAATTTTAATAAATTATATACATTTCTAATTTAAGTTCACTACCAGCGGCCCTACACTCGACAAAGCAGAAAAATAGAGGTCTACGAGATCCGCCATTTAGAAGCCGCCATTTAGAATTTCCTGAATATTGAATATTTTTTTTAATCGTTAAGGGGGGAAATACAATTAAAAGGCCTAAAATGAGGCCTATCTTTGGGAGTGAATTGCAAGTAGGGAATTGAATGAATCTTAGCGATTCTTTTTGCATGTTATTAGGAAATTATTGGGCAATGAAAATCAGTCAAGTTTTTCGAAAAATATTGTAACTAAGCCCATTTATGATCAATAATGTGGAGTCGTGTTTTGGGGGATAAACTTTGCGCCGTGCAGTCTCCAGGCTCAGGATCACGTCTAAAACAAAAAACAGCAACTGGGCATTAAACTTAGAGGTACAGCGCACAACATGAATTATTTCATATGTAAAAAAATGGTTTTTCCATCAAAAAATTTGAAATTGAAAAAAATTAAAAAAAAAAACACTTTTTTTCGACTTAGTTCGTCAAAAAAACATGTTATAACAAATAATTAAAAAAAATCCTTTAATTCATGTTGTGGAGAATTTCATTTCAAACATAAAGAAAAAAACCGCATTCGATTGAAATGAAATCTCTGACCTGTACATTGCACGGCGACTTTGAAAACACGACTTTTCAGTAGAAGCGTTTAAAGTTTACCACTCACTAAAGTTTACCACTAGGGATGTCGGAAATATATCAAAATATCAATATATCGATATATTTTCTCTTAAAAAAATATTATTATCGGAATATTTTTTGGGCAAAAATAGTCGATAATAATATTTTTGAGTTGGTATTTCCGATATTTTATGTTTGGTCACTCCTAAGCCAGAAATTGGCATTAAGTTATCTTATCACGCCTGGAAGTTCGGTTCCATCTGAACGGTTGGCTTCTGCCATTAAATGTGTTGTCTGTGACTCCCGTAGTCGAATGACATACCAGCATATAACCGAAAGAGTTTTTTTAAAATCATTGAAGAAAGATTTTTTTTGTAATTTAGAGTAATTAGGAGCATTAAATACGAAAATTAAGTAATTAGCATTATTTAGAACATATTTCATGAATTAATTTTTTTAAAACTTTTTTTTTATATTATGTTTTTTTATAAATAAATTTGAATACAATGTCCTTAATAATTTTGTTATTTTTTATTTCAAAGAACTTAAATAAAAGTTGCTTGAGAGTGGGTATAAATATTTGTTGTTTT